ATATATATATATATATATTGCAGTATTACACCTCGTGCATGCATGCATGCTCATAAATAGGCATGCACATGATCAATAGGAAGATGCACGACAAATCTTTCATGTATGCTTTAATGCAAACGTAAGCACACTAAAATAAGCACTTCTATGTGATATTTTAAAATCGTTCATGCTCATGAGAGACATCCACATTTTAGATCATAAGCAACAAAAACACAAAATATATTTTTCAGGCAATATTTAAATTTCATACATTTATACGATATGTAAATATTTTCATTCAATCAAAAGAAAAAAAAAAAAAAAAAAAAAAAAAACTCTCCTGCGGTATCGCTCCCAAAGCCGCTGCATTTAAGTCCAAGCTCACACTTTTTCCCTTAACAACGGACCCTCCAACTCTTCCATGGCCGACCTTAGTCCTCCGTTTTCCCCCCCGCAGACACCCGACGGGCTTCTCGACCCCAACTCCACTGCCCCCACCGGCCGACCCTCGTTCTACCGTGGTATCCGTCTGCGAAGCGGCAAATGGGTATCAGAAATTCGTGAGCCGCGCAAGTCCAATCGCATCTGGCTCGGCACGTATGCAACTCCGGAAATGGCCGCCACTGCCTACGACGTGGCCGCGTTTGCTCTCCGTGGAGCTCATGCGGTGCTTAATTTTCCCGACACAGCTCTGTCACATCCCGTGCCGGCGTCAACCTCGCCAGCTGATATCCAGGCTGCGGCGGGCGCGGCGGCGGCAGCAGCGGCGGCGACAGTGGGGGCGCAGCTTGCTGCAAAGCCTGAAGCTGTGGATGCGTTAGTTGAGTCGGCGCATAAGGTAGGGGAGTTTGTGGATGAAGAGGAACTGTTCGATATGCCGCAGTTGCTAATGAACATGGCTGAGGGGATGTTGGTAAGTCCTCCAAGACTCAGCCCGCCGGCGTCAGGTGAGTCGCCGGAAGCCTCAGAAATGGATAATTTATGGAAGTTTGACGAGTAAAGCAGTAGTAAGAAATAGTGGCTTAGCCTATTTTCACAAAGAATTTTTATCTAATTGATTTCAAAAATATGTATTTATTTCTGATAAGAAAATAATTTAAAATTCGATCGAATTTTTCAAGTTTTAGTCATCTAAAAACAATTTACAATATTTTTAAACACATTTTAATTAAAGTTGTAAGAAAATATTCTAATCTAAAACTTCTCATAACAAGGTTTTTTTTTTTTTTTTTCTGTTTTCAGTTATTCTTCGCCTGATTATAGTTCTAATGCTGTAATCCCTTTAATTTTTTGTAACCTTCTTGTTATTATAAATTCCTAATCAACTTTTTTATCAAGATTTCCCCACTAATTTTTTATTAGGTTTTCTTCTTCCTCTGATTGGTATGAATGGGAATATAATTTTATTCATTCGACTGAATTCTTGTTCCTCTCTAGTTCCAACATAAAATGCTTAAGCAAAAGTTGCTTTTCTTACTCCATAAAATGGCTACGTGGATCGACAAAAAATCAAATAGAAAGTAAGTTATTTATGATAATTATTATGAATGATTCTGTAATTTTAGGCTTTAAGTTCTGGCATCGTATAGGTATTTATAATCCATGCGCACATCCTTCTTTTGCTGACTTCAAAGCATCCATTTTCATGTAAACAGACAACTACGAACTACGTGCTAGCAAATAAAATAACTTTGATGCCATCACATTGATTATAATGCTCAAATATGACGCACCAAATCATTTGATAAATTTGCACGAGTTTCAAATTCAAACGATAAAATTTTAAAATTTATTATAATTATTATGTTAGGAGATAAATATTATCCTACGGATTTATACTTATCATATTACATTGTAATTTTAACCATTTTCTTAACTCGACTAAAAAACGAGTGCGCATAAAAAAAACAGTACTTACTTCCAGTGGGATGACTTGCATAAATAGCGCTGAAATTTTCAGCAGCTGTCATGGTGCCCCGCGTTGGATGAGTGCACTGTTAGTTTAATTTGAATAAAATCTCTTAAAGCAATAGGATGGGCGTATGTATATGTTGTGCATTTTATATCCAGATCACATCTCATGTTTGTTTCAAGGCCAAATCTTCGTATCTTATGTATCATTGGCTCCAACTAGTAGTTAAATGATAAGAAAGTTAATTATTGCATAAGGGACAACGATTAAGAGTTAGTAGGGACAAGTTAGCTTACTTAGAATAAATAGACAATTTTTTTTGAAATAATATGATCAAAATAAAGTTCCAATTACAAAAATTATATAATAAAAGAAAATTCCAGTAAATGTACTATTTTGGATCTTAATTGATAGAAATTCAATTTCAATCTACTTACATCATACATATGCTTAATATTCCAAGGAAATGTAATTCTTAGTCAAACTATTGATAATCACATTATTTTCATAATATGAGACTATTAAACTGAAAAAAATGACTGAATTTATCAATTTTAATCTGAACTTGAAATAACAGTACCAAAACTTATTAATTAGTGATATTTAATATATAATTTCAGATCAATTTAAGCTACTGGACTGTTGGGCATTCAAAGTCACCGGATGCCTTATAACATTAAGATCTCTAGAAATTTAATTTAGTTTATAAAATGTTATTTATAGCCATACTTATATAGAAATGCAGCCAATGAGTCAACCTTTTTTTTTTTTTTTTTTTTTGGTTTTCTATATTCGAAAGAATCAATCATTTGAAATATAAATGAAGTTAATGAAATCATGACTAAGAAGTTGACGAAAGTTTTGAATTTTAATCACAAGTTGTTGGTCATTGTAGATCCCAGTCAATAATGGGACATCAGCTTACATACCACACGATTCTTATTTATTTATATATCTAAAATTGAAATTTTAGTTTATTCCTTTACAGTAATAAAAACTTTTAATTAAACATGAAATGTATCACTATTATTGATTTTTAAAAAGTGAATTAGATCTTTTCATCAATAGGAAAAGAGTAATAAGTGAAAGAAATAAACATTGAGATATTAGACATTGAAATATATGATATGTGCTGATCCTTTATTACGACTGATCAGGTTGCGAAGCTTCGTCATTTTCCCTTAAAGCGATCAGTATTTCCCAATTATGTGGTATGTTAATAATAGTCTTTTTCTTTCGGGCAGGATGGGCACTCATACACAGGACATTAAGATTTTCATTTTAATTCCAACTGCTGAGATATGCTTTCAAGCACAGCTCTTAATTTCTTTGCAGCTAAGTTATGACTAGCTAGTTAAGTAGTTAACCTGGTCAATGCATATTGTTTTGGCTATTTAAAATTTTAGTTAACTTTTTTCAAGTATGAACAAGTGTCATATTCTTTTTAAAATTTTAATCAAAAATAAATTTTCAGTCACATTTTTATAAAAAAGATTTAATAACTTTGTTATGTTAAATGATAATTTTTTAATTATATCTATATAAAAATGGCTATATTAACTTATGAAATGAAAAAGCTATTTAGACACTTTTTATATTTATATAATATTATTGAAGATATTAATTACTTGAACAAAAGTCATATTGCTTACTAAAAGAATAATTTTTGTAATATAACATGTGGGTGAATATTGTATATTTTATAATAATGTAGTTATAAGGGTAAATGGAGTCGCCACATCACCATAATATAGATTATGATAACATGATCATTCCATCCAACTTTGTAAGAACATACTTTATATGCAATACTTTCCTAACATATAAAGTTAGCTGTATTTCTTTTACTTGTTTAAAAAAAAAATGTAACAAATATAAATTTATTTGCAAATTCTAAACAATATATAATCGGACATACAAACGCACAAATAGACAATTTTATAAAATATATGACCCATTTCCCCAAAGCACGTGAGTGTTGATGAGATGCCACCGATTGTTTCCTGCTACAGCTCAGTGTTCTAATGAAGCTTGTGAGAACTAATCAAACGACTTCCCCACATGTGGCACCAAAATTTATAACTTATAGTTCAAAGATGGCCCCACCCATTAGCAAAGCTCTGCTAATCGATTAAAATATCTGATACGTTAAAGCTAATAGTTGTCTGCAAATTGATCATAAAAAACAGAAGAATTTATGTCATTGTCGCATTTGATGTCCCATGCAAAGTCCAGGAAATAATTTATGCGCAACATTTTATTAAACTCACAGTTCTCTTTATTTTATGGGCCATTTGAAATCATCTTTTATTTTTTTTCTAATTTTTAAATTTTAACGTATTTTATTTTTACTTACATTAATAAAACTTATTTAATATGCTAAAACACTTTTAGTTATTCTTAAGAGATATTTTGAGTGTTTTAAAGAATAAATTCATTTAGTAGAAATAATAAAAACATGCCAAAAGAAAAACCTTAAACTAACATGTCTAACATGTATTTAGGTTAAAAGAAAAAAAAAAAAAATTGATTCCAATCAAGTACTTATTTTTATGATTGTTATAAGAATTTATCTTGTTGAATTGTAATCAAAATATATAATTTAACATCTCATTAAGTACCAATTACTTTTCTGAACTATCCATAGTAAATACTTTGTTGCATCCTAGTAAATTCACGACAGTAGAGTGATATATTAAAATTTCACTTTTGTACGATATTCCACCACACACTGAAATGATGAAATTGATAGACGAAATAGCAGAAATTTTCACATGGAAAACCCACAGTAAAAATCAATGGCGGTTGACCAAATTTAAATGATTTCATTTTGTTAAAGTAGGTTACAAGATTTTGTTGACCCTTAAATGATGAGGAACAATGTTACACCTGAGATGCGACTTCTAATAAATGAGTGATATAATCTGTCAGGGAAGCTATAGCATCTTGATGGTGTCGGTTCAACAACAGTGAGAGTGGTAATTCACTGTTGGCGGTGTCTAGATGAAAGTGGTGGTGCCGGCATCAGTGGTGGTAACGACATGTCTGAGTAGCGGTTGTCCAGTGGTGGCGCATCATGATAATATTGGTAGTACCAACAACAGTGAGGCATTATTTGGGTGACCACCACCATTTGATGCTCGAAGATGGTAATCTGACGATGTCGATCTAGAGGTCTCTACTAGTAGAGATATTCTTTGAGGATGATGGGTTGGCTCACCAGCATAGGTCTCAAAAGGTTTATATCTAAATGATCAAACAAGGAATTTAAGGATAAATATATTACCCGCAGGGATATGAATATTATTTTAAAATGAGTTTAACCACTTCAAAAACATTCAGTATTTATGAGCCTACAGAATGAGAGTGTTTCCCTATATCTTACGGGGGCAAGATAGGGTTTAATAAATTATGGGGGTTAGTATCATTATGAGGGAAAGCCCAAATAGTTCATTACATCTCGAGTATTGTGGTTCTAAACAATACTCTTGATTAAATTATTGACTTATGTCAGACTTTATTTTACCCAAAATTGATATTTCATAAATAAAATAAGTTCAAATGATTTGAGTGGAATTGAAGGGTTGGAACTTTTATTCCAATATGATGATGTGTTGTTGAAAGGCCCAAAAAAGATGGTTAGTTAACTTTGGGAAGAAAATTTACCTTAAGGACTGAAAATCATGAATTTGTGGAATACATGTCTGGTATTTTATTTGGAAGATCATATTTGAATTGAAAGAGCTTAATTTGGATTGATTCACCTTAGCTGAAAACTTTAGTAAGTTAAATTTGTTTTAGCTTGCAAAGCAACATTTGAGTTATAATATATTTCATTGATTCTGGTTTAGAGGGTTTGTTCTGAGTTAAAAAATTATTAAAGCTTGTTGAAATTTATATGAAAGGTTTGAGTTTTCTTAAGCATCTTAAAATTTATTGAGGTGTATTGGTTTTGATTTAAGTTTGTTTAAGGTTTGTTAAAGTTTGTTGGTAAAAATTCAATTCGTTTGAAGTTGAAGTTTACTTAGTGTTTACTTAAACATTATTTTTGATTATTAAAGTTTGGTCGGTCACCAAATTGGAAGTTG